CTTCCCTAGTACCACTCTCCTGCTGCTTTCTTGGAGGCTGTTTCTCTTCCTCCTGCCCTCACATTCATCTCTCCCTCCCACTGGCCTTTCCCAGGGTTTCTGTCTGGGTTGCAGATCTGTCCCCTCCCAGGAGTCACACCTCTGCCCTCTGCTTCTTCAGTGTCTCAGCCAGGCCATCGTTCCCTGCACCCTGCCCCTCTCATGGCAAGAGACTGCCTGCAGGACAACCCCAACAGAACTAGCATCCAGGCTCCCCTCCCCACCCTCCCCTCCCCTTCCTTGAGCACTGCTGGTGATTCAGCCCTTTTAGGCCTTTAGTTCAGGTGCTGTCAATCCCCTTTCCATCCCCCCTCGGGGCACTGGGATGTTCTTCTTCAGAGAACAGCCTGGACTTCTGGGTTCCTTGGAGCCACTAAACCAGCTGTGGAAGCTGATAGGTGATGGCGCTGAGGTGCCCAGTCTTGAGCGAAGAGGCTCCTCCAGCTTCCCCCTGGAGGGCGGGCCTTCTGCTCCTCTCCTGAGCTTCTGCTTGCTGGTGCCACTGCGGGTAGTTACTCTCTATCAAGAGGTGGCAGCTGCTGCTTCTCTGGCTCTGGTCTGCATGTTCTTCCCTCTGGGCTCTTGGGTAACATTTTCCAGTGGCTGCTTGGGAAACCAGCCGTTCCGGCTCAAGGGTGAGGAAGGCCCAAGTCTGGTAAAGCCAGCCCACAGGTAACTCCCTTTGCTGGCGGATCTTTGAGGGTGGCCCGAAGACCAGCACACCTTTCTCTTCTTAAGAGGAGAGCCCTGGGAATCTCTCCTCCTCCTCTCACAGCCACTTCAGGTGGGGGGGTGGCGGGTGGGGGAGTCCCCTCTTAATTGGCAGGATTGGCCACGCTGCAATATTCACATCTCCACACAAAGCCCTGGTCCCCTATGCCCAGACAGGGAGAGAAAGAAAAGACAGCGAAATTAATAGGCCAGATAGAGCTCCACTCATAGCCTATTTGTAAGAAAATTAAAGATTTGCTTTTCAGATGTTGGGGGCCATGCTCTTACCAGACAGCTGGCAAATGGGAGAGATTGGGAATGATGGAATAGATCAAATTATTTAAATGAGAAAAATAAATTCACACACAGCCTCGCCGCTGCCTGTGACAGACCCGTTTATTTATCTACTGTATCGGCACCGCTTTGTCTCTGTCAAAAAGGTCATTAAACTCGCCTAACTGCGTAATTCCAGCCTCCTGCTCCAGACTCGCTCCACAGCCCTTCCCTTCCCTTGACACCAGTGCCACTTGAAAAAAAAATTTATTATTGTTAATAAACAAGGTGGGTTTTTTTTTTAACCCTTTCTAGCTTGCTCCCACACGGGTCCTCCTCCATCCCACGGAAAATTACAGTTTCTCTTTATCCTTTCTCAGAAGGAATGGGGGAGGGGGTGTCAGCCCCCCTGCCTTGCTGGAAGAGAGGGATGGGGAGTGCCAGGGTGCATCTTAGCTGCCCCTCTGATGATAAGGATTTAGCTTTCTTCCTCCGAAGCCCCTGTCATAGCAGAGCGCGGTGCAGTCCTGCCTTCCACAGCAGAGGGTCGGGCCTGGCCTCTCACGCCCCTACCAGCCTGCAGCCCCCTAAGCCCAGCTTGGGCAATTCGCTTTGAATTGTGTCTCCCTCCAGCCCCAGCTCCAACTCTGATTTCACACGGGGTGGGGTTAGGGAGGGAAACCCGTTCCTGGGTCCGTCTCCATCCGCCGCCGTCCAGCCAGCCCCAGCAGCGTGCTAGCTGGACGGCCAGACTCCGCAGACAGCGGGCTCAGGGTCCCTCTGCTCCCGGCAGGCGCGTCTCCTTCGGCAGGTCGGGCCGCTAGGCTGCCGCCGTCTCCCAGCTCCCGGTGCCAGCTCTCCCGCTCCAC